CACACAAAGTCTAATGTTCCTTATTGACGTTATTAATCACTCGCGGGAGACGATCTATGCCACATCACCATAAAGCCAAAGAGGAAGACCCGCCCCCGTCGACGTTAAGCCAATGGGAGAAGACTACAGATGATAATATGGGAAGCTAACAGGAAGTCTGTCTCTTTTCCAGCCGTCCACCACAGAGACGGAAGAGGTTTCTCAATACTCTAATTTCCCCTCCTCGACTCCTTTCCTCAACTCCTATCCTCGATACTTAGTCCCGCCCACAGGAGATGCTAGCGGAGGACTGAGGAGGGGAACCGAGGAAAGAGGAGGGGAAGCAGCAGGCGGTTAGAGAAATGAGAACTCCTCTCCTCTGAGCGGTCATTTTAAATAGACGTCCATTAATGATGACAGGAGGCACAGCAGCCCTCTGTCTGATGGACAGATCACAGATGTGTTCATGACGACTTATATATTTACTTTTAATTCATTGACAGTGCGGTATAATGAGACAATAACAGGCTACAGATGCGGACATATACACACATATATTTATTGAAATATATACAATTTCAGAATCAAACACGTTATTATGAGAGTGCTCTCATACTTAANACTTTTCTCCGTTAATCTCCACTCCTTTTGTCCGTCAAGTTGTTTCCATAGTAGGGCTGCACGATATTGAAAAAAACTGACATTGCGATTTCCCCCCCCCCCTGCGATATATATTGCGATATGAAAACAGGGGGGGGGAAATCGCAATGTCAGTTTTTTTCAATATCGTGCAGCCCTACTATGGAAACAACTTGACGGACAAAAGGAGTGGAGATTAACGGAGAAAAGTAATATCTACATATAAAGACGGAGAAAGTAAAGGATAAAGTTTATGTTTAAGTGTTAGCACCCCCCGAATAGGCACAAGCTCTTACGTTGATATTGGAGATTAAAAGTAAATTCAATTTTAAAAAAGAAGCGAATATCCGAATAAAGAAATTGAAAACCGAATAGTGGGCCAACGACCGAATATTCGGATATTCGGGTACAGCCCTACATTAGGCTACTATAGGGGCATGTCTGTCTCTGCTTATTTAGCTTTTTCTTCAGAATAACATCAATAGTGGCTGGATCAGCATCCTCCAGAATCACTATATCAATCACCTATGTGTGTCCAAGAAAAGCCTCAGAAGGATTAAGCCACAGGTCAAATAATAATTTCCCCTGGTCTTCGCTTCTAAAATGTGAGGTTTGGCTCTTTATCATATAAGATAGTTGGCTAAATATGCTTTTATTTTGGACAAAGACATCATCATTGGCTTCAAAATGATCATGAACATGTTTCACTATTATCTATGAGCAGATTAATCAAAGCAAGATGAAAGGTTAAAGTTATAACAGAAATAGTCCTTAGTCACAGTCTTATAGCAGAGCAGACACTAGCTTTTCTGTTTGATGGTTTTTCACACTATAAGCAGTTGGCAATTTCAATCATGCTTGTATCTACTCTATATTTATTATTGATTTCAATTTTGAGGAGAATTTCACTGACACTTTCTTCCCGAGCACATTTGCAAGCATGATATTGATAATAATACAACATAATGTATGGGAAAAGTGGGTTAAATTGAATCTATGACCACTTTTAGCCTTCAAACTGTGACGGGTCACATGTCAGTGGCTTACTGACCATGATAAGAAAAGATGAGAGGTGAAGACACTGATGGTGTAGTTAATTAACATTTTGATGACCACTTAGCCCCAGAAGGGCAAATGTCATTACAACAAATTAGACAGTGAGAAGATACGAAGTGACTCACTAGACAGTATCATCACATGAGGTGCATGGAGGAGCACTGACTTACAGACCCTTGAGAAAGACATGAGTAACTTTCCTCCTACATCTATAGCAGCATGAAACGTTATGAAAATGAACTCTCAAAGATTGTGATAATGCTTTGATCCATCAAATAACAATCCAACAAGTCCTAATCTTCTCTCTTAGTGGATCTGAAATGAGAAAAAGTATCTTGAAAGCCAATAAAGATCTTACCTTTGTTCTGTGCTAACATATTGCAGCAATATCTTTCAGAACACCTGGTTACTTTGTTCCAAAAGCATCATCCATTGAATATTTTGCTGCTCATTAAAAAAAAAAGCCAAAAGCATCATCCATTGAATATTTTGCTGCTCATTAAAAAAAAAAGCCAAAAGCATCAACCATTGAATATTTTGCTGCTGCCTCAGGCTGCTAATTGTTTTTCAATCTACCCTGGCTGGATGTGTAATCAATGCTTTAAATTCAGACCCTGAGCGAGAGAAGGGCCTGGTCGTGCCTCAATAATTGGCAAGCAAATATACCGAGCTGAGCTTCAAGCTCTACTTTGCATTACACCACCACTGTTGAAGTAGCATATAACTAAATAACCCAGGAAGCCATCAGGATGTCCCTGCCGACATCATTCAATGTCGATATGTATCGGCATGCTTGTTGGTCTTGGAAAATAAATATATTAATGATAAACAATGCTATCACCTCAAGGGTCATCAATTAGACTGTTTTCCCTTAACATCCGGTAAATTAAAACACAGTAGTTAAAAATCAAGTTATTGGACTATTGATTGTTCCTCCACGAGGCAAGATAACTCCTAATAATAAAATATGTCCCTTCTAGATGTGTTTAATTTCCCCTGTGGCCTTCTTCACCTGCATCATGCATGTTTAATGTCAACACAAAATCTCCACCCAGAGAGGGCACTACATCTCTCCTCTCCTCTCTTGAACAGATGGCTCATGTTCATTTTCCAGCTCTCATTAAATACCTTTTGTCCAAAGAATAATGTAAATTCACACAGGGTTTAGTGGGCTCATGTGGTTTTTGAGGGAAAAGTGAACAATAATAGTTTAGCATTACACTACTCAATTACCGTTATTCCCGTAGAATGTTAACTATAACAATGAAATAAAATAAAACAATCCTTATTCCAAATATCATTAAGTCAGGGCAGGCTGGAGAGTGACTGCATGATGGTCATACTGTGAATATATGGAGGCTTACATAGCAGATATATGATACTATCATTGCAGTTGTGGGTCACAGCGGTCACAGCATATTAAATGGGTATCAACCAATGCCAAAGGCATTTGAATGCGATGAATAACTTAAGCCAAACCATCATTTTAGGTAACAGAAGATGATACCTGACATGTTTAGTCCATTTAATATAACAGGCCAAAAACGTGGAAGACCTTTCAAAGAACAGCATGACACCAGTGTGAGGGCAGCAGGTCTCTGGGGGCAGACCTGTGAGATCAGTGGTCACTGTTCACTGCTGGTGTGGAAACACATCCACCTCTACAGTATGCCGCTTTAAAAGCTTCAGCAGCAACCCAGTGGTCTGCCATTTTGACCAACACCCCAAATATTTTCCTGGCAGTTTCTTGTTTGCAGTGTATTATTTGGCATTTCTTTTAAACCTTTGCTTTTGCACCAATAGTTATGCAATAGTTATAGTTGAAAATTAGCAGTTGACCATAAGACATATAATCATCTACTGACTAACAGTTGCTACTTAAACATTGACATACACAGCTAATGCTGAATGCAACTTAGCATGACAGGCCTCAATACAAAGAGAAAGGACATGGAACCACAAAACTTTTGTCTTACTCTCAAAACTGTTTAACACTGATTGTGTTTGCACAATAACAAAGCATCAATAACACCAATACACAAGTTTAAATAAAAAAGTTCAAATGCACCTTACCTGCAGATCAGATTGGAGACACTCAGTGTGAGGGATCTTCTATCAAGGGCTCAAGTGTCGCACGTGGACATGATATCTACAGTATCCACAGTATCACCCACTGCATACTGAAGAAATGTTTGGGAAACTGGATTTGGGTTTGTCACGCCACATAATCAGCTATTTTGGGAAATGAATCAGGGCAAACAAGCCAAGGCATGGGTGCAGCAATGAGTATAGGCCTACTGCAAAGGTAAAAAAAATTGAGGTATGCATCTCTCCACACAATATACGTTTATTTTAATGATGAAACTCGATTCTGTCAGGTGTGGGGGGGATTTTTACCAAGCGTAATTTGGTTGCAGCTTTAAACATTTGCGCTCAATGCTGCCTGTTATGGCTGGGCGTTAACCTAACGTTTATTTTGAAGCATGGACTTGTAATATAGCTTCTGGCCAGCAGTGGGATAGGTGGTGTCACTGTGCAGGGTCCGGAGCGTTGTTATTATACATCAATGGTCCGGAGGCTAACTAAACTTTGTAAATTAGCAGGATTGCCAGATCGTGACTCGTGAAGGCTCATGTGCGAACACTGGAGGGTCTATAGATTTTATTCAGTATTTTATATAGATCAGCCCGGAGGCGTGCGTAAAAGTGGCTTTACTATGTTTGACTAATTTGGTCGTCATTTCAAAGTACATTTTAAATACATTTTGAGTCCAAATGTCCGAAAGAAAATATATTTGTGATATGATTTCCTGAGTTTCGCCGACCAGTGTATTAAACCATTACCATTGATCCCCTAGTGAGAAACAAGCCGGTAAGATTTTTCAAAAGCACATTGAACAGCATCTCGCCTCGAATACTGGAAGAGAACTGTATTGATTGAGTATTGACTCTGATGTGCCCAAAGGGCTTTCTTCGTCTTTATACTGTTTGAAAACTTCAACTGTAGCCTTATCTTTTTACGTCTTTGCACGCACTTAATTGTTCAACAATCGCCTTACTCCGTGCATCGATGCATTTGACAAATGTTCCATTAGAATGTATCCTCTGATTCACTTAGCTCTTAGGGGATCTATATCACAGGAGAGGAGCCTTCCTTTCGATGAGAGGTGAGTCTCTTCAGCACCTCATCACTGCTTTTTGTGCACGTCCCTTAACACATGCGCGCTCTTTAGCTTGAGGCAGTCACAGCGCGCACCACACCACAAGCGCATCGGAGATTTGTGCATATCCCGTTAGTCATTTATTTATTTTTGCGACTCTTTTTTTCCCCCGTTTACCATCGTATGTCATTCAGGCTACAATATGGGAGTATAAAAAGATAATTGCATTGCACATAGGTTTCACACTTCGGTTCCAGTGAGGCAAACTTGAGGAATATTTGGAGATGGAGAACATCCGTACAGAAGTGAGGTGGCGTCGACAGTGAGATTGAATCCGGTTGCAGGTAAGATTGTACTTTGTTTTGCCTCATCGAGTGAATAGTAAACTGTCTCAGATCAGTAGATGTGTTAAGATAGCCGATAATTACCAGATGAATCCGATTATTCCATTCAAATTAAGTTGAAGAAATAGAACATGTTCAACATGTTAATCATTCACTCTTGTATGAACTGCTGTTGTTTTACTATTATGCAATTTTTCTGTAGTCTGGTAAAAGTATTATGTTCTGGCATTAAAACAAATTTGATCTCATTCCACAAAACCCTCAGATGAGTTTGCTAACATTGCCAATGAAAATCCTGACTTGACCTGATTCTTGTTTTATTTCCCATGAGATGGATTTGCATAATTTACGATGAGCTAGTAATCATTTATTCAGTTGAATATTCTAAACTTCTACTTTTTAGGGACTTAAAGCAAAAGTTAGAGCAGAATTCATGGCCTTCAGCATTGAAGGAGAAAAATAACTTGATGAAAAAAACAAGAGCTTTAAGAAGCTACTTAACAAAAATATTGTTTTGTTGTTGATTGCAAATCAGATAGTTATCTGTCTTTTGACTGTGGAGGCTCTGTGCTGATTTTATAGAAAGAAAACCTGTTGCACACTTTGATAAATGCATCAAATATGGCAATGGAACCATTCACAGAATAGCATTTCATGAGATTGCCAAAATAATACTCATAACAGTCATCAATGACTTCAATGTATTGTTTACCTACGCAACAGAGCTCGAGTGCTTCAATAGGGTAATATGTTTTATTCGGGTGGTCTGTTTCTGTCGGATGAATGAACTACCATATGCTCCATGTTACAATATTCTATCCATTCCCCTGACTCAGATCCGCCTTTTCCTCCAGATTTATAGACACCAACACGCTATGTTTTAACTGATCTCAAACACCCCCTCTGCTGAGATGTAACCGTCTATCCGTCAGATGAATGCCATGCCTTTTGCCATGGTTGAAAAGAAAAACTGGCATCATAAAACCTCTTATGTTATTGGCACCAAACTAAGTTGTCAGACCATGCTTGCCTCCTGTGCATTGGCAGTGACAAGCACTTCAATCTGACTGCAACACGGCTACTGGCAGTACTGTGATTCCCCTCATTCAATTACTTAGGCTCGGACTAATTTACATCCATGCCCACCCCCTAATAAATAAATAAAAATGTGTCAGCAAAGAATTCAGTGTTACCCATCGCAGCTGGTTATAGCAGTATGTGAAGGGCAAGCATATTTCCCCAGAGGGAGATTATGACTGTAGGGTGTAGTGATTTCCCTAGATAGCAGTGCTTGACCAAATAAACACACACGGAATCTGGCCTTAGGTACTGCACAACAGCCTGATATGCTCTTCTTTACACATACCATCAGCAGGTCTGTTCTCAAGAGAGAGGATCCAGATACAACATCTATACAATCCTCTTTGGTACTGCTGGTAAGGATGATACAAAAACAACATTTCCTGTTTTAAAGATCTCGGGTAAACATGCCGTAACATTTAAATGCTTTTTCTGACTGATAAAATGGATGCATGGCATCACAGAGATCACTCATATAGATAGCTACTTGTTTTATTGGTTCAACAAACTAACATCAATCAGGAAGAAGGGAGGAAGGAAGAGAGATTCCATATCTGATGAAGATGATGGATTTCATGTTCTTCTTCTGAAAGGAAACAATCTATGTTAACGTACATATCAAGTGGATGAACATAAATGTAAGGATTGTAAAACCAAGGTTTAAAAAAAAGTTTATTATAAATGATTTTGCGCTGTTACTGAGAGAAGTCTTTATGTGTGCAGGTGAGATGCCCTAATTCACGGGAGACAGTGAGGTATCATGGACTCCTGGATCTTCCCATCGTCCCCCCCGAACCTGTCGGATCACCTCATGTACGACAGCTTCGTGCAGGGCAATGAGTCTGACTACAATGGGACCTACACAGACCACAGCTTCAACAAAACCAGCACGGTGGTCATCACCTGCATGTACTTCCTTGTTTGCACTGTGGGGCTTTGTGGAAATGCCCTCGTCATCTACGTCATCCTGCGCTACGCCAAGATGAAGACGGTTACCAACATCTACATCCTCAACCTGGCAGTGGCCGACGTGCTCTTCATGATGGGCCTGCCCTTCATCGCCATCCAGCTGGCTCTGGTCCACTGGCCGTTTGGCCCCGTGCTCTGCAGGGTGGTGATGACTGTCGACTCCCTGAACCAGTTCACATCCATCTTCTGCCTGATGGTCATGAGCATCGATCGCTACCTGGCTGTGGTGCACCCCATTAAGTCCACAAAGTGGCGCAAGCCGCGAATGGCCAAGACTATTAACTTGACAGTGTGGGGGGTGTCCTTGATGGTGAACCTGCCCATTGTTATCTACAGCGGAGTCATCGTAAAGCACGACGGCTGCTTCTGCACCATCGTGTGGCCCGAGCCTCAAGAGGCCTACCAGACGGCGTTCATGTTCTACACCTTCATCCTGGGCTTCTTCCTGCCCCTCATGGTCATCTGCCTTTGCTACTTGTTTATTATCTTTAAGGTGAAGTCCTCGGGCATCCGTGTGGGCTCCTCTAAAAGGAAGCGCTCAGAGAGGAAGGTGACGAGGATGGTGTCCATCGTAGTGGCAGTGTTTGTCTTCTGCTGGCTGCCTTTCTACGTTTTCAACGTCACCTCGGTGACAGGGACCATCAGCACCACTCCCTTCCTGAGGAGCACTTTTGCTTTTGTGGTGGTTCTGGGATACGCCAATAGCTGCGCCAACCCCATTCTCTACGCCTTCCTGTCAGAAAACTTTAGGAAGAGTTTCCAGAATGTTCTGTGTCTTAAGAAGGTGGGAGGGCTGGATGAGGCTGACCGCAGCGATAGCCGACAGGATAAGTCTCGCATGATAAATGAACCCACAGAGACCCAAAGCACTCTGCTGAATGGTGACCTGCAGACCAGCATCTAGGAGGAAGGTGATGGACTCGCACACAAGAGTCCTACATATCTGAAGTAAATAACAGTAGGCTCCTATCAGCATCTCTAAGGTCACATCAGAGAGGAAGTGGACATTATTAAAGAAAGGAACATGTCCCTTGTTAAGGAGGACAAAGCAACATCAGAATTTCAAACTGCACTGTTCCTCTATCTGCCTTTGACACATTGTTTGATTTCCTTGGCTGTAAACACATCCATTATTACGTTATCGTGCGTTCATAAAACTGTTTGCTCTATTCTGTATATGAAATTTGTTTGACTGTTCTCAGTGTATTGACTCTGAGGAAAGGTGGAACGGACACTAACGCCCACTTACAAATGGTCCCCTGGGTGACATGAATTTTCCCTGGAGACCAAGGTTTATATTCGTAGTTTTCAGCGGCGGGCTGTGCCAAGTTTCCAGAGTCCTGCATTGTGTTGAAATAACATAACAGTGTTCTCATATGCTGTAAAACAACAAACTGGCAATTCCTTTATTTTGTTCATGTCATGTCTGCAATTTATGTTCTTTTTTCAACTGTAAATATGTAGAAATGGGGAAGAGAATGTGTAAAAAAGTCAAATGTAATCTCTATTTTCCAGACACAGAACATTATTAATGTTGAATATTGTGTTTTGTGGTACAGTGGTCTGATTAAATATGTGACCAAATTTACTTGTGAAGAAACGTATCAATTGTAAATGTGACACTGTTGGCGGGTACATATATCGTACTTTGTCACTCGCTGCTGTAGTGTAGCTACATGCATAATTCATATTACATTAAAGGTACTGACTCGATAAACAAAGCCAGCCTCTAACCAAATTGCTGCTAAGATGTATAGAAACTCTCCTCTAATGTTGTATAGCATATGAGGTTTTGCCACTGTATGCCTGATTCTTGAATTTATGTTAGGAGATGTTCATTCTCATTGTTTATTTACCATTTATTTATGTTACAAAATAATGTTGCTATCATTGTTTTTTTTTAAAGTATTTTCTTCTTTCCAAAATGCCAGACTGCATTGTTCTAAATTATTCAATTAGAATACTGGGTAGTTCATATTTTTTTAACTTATTTTAAACCATAAAACCTGCTCATTTCATATTTTCTGAAGGACTTTCAGTTTATTGATGTTTCATTATGTTGTATTGCAGGAAACAATGTTCGGTAGCTATCTGTAAACTGCTTTTTTTCATCTGTTCTTCTATTCTCCTCGACATTCCATATGTGAGAGGCTTAGCTTGTCGAATGCTGCCTCTCATAGCTAGCTACTTGTAAATACTCTGTATAATGACACTGACACATCCTCCTCTCACAATCTGTGGCATTTGAGATGCCACGTTTGAAGTGGTTTTTTTTCTCCTCCGGGTGTCTGAGTGAGGGGAATTTGTAAAGGACTTATCCTCGAGAGGCTCTGAGGTTCCTTTATCATCGTGACGGCTGTGCTGCTCAAAGACTCCACAGTTCACCCTGCCATCCTGTGACTGTCTGTCTGTGGCTGTGCTCAGATTCCTATCTATATAACTTTAAAGCTCTACCCTACACGACCGCACATGTTCCCTCCATACACACCAAAGCCAGTGACAGATTATGATTAGAATCCTGAGTGTCTGTGTGCGTTAATCTCAATAAACCATTACAAAACTGTGAGGCAGAGTATGTGTTATCACTGATATTTAAATTCATACATTCAAAAGAGACTAACCACTCTAAACATGTGGTTTTCTTGTGTCAATAGTGGATGAAAAACAGAATTACACAAACACACTGACAAGTTGTGACCCCCCCAGCCACAACAAATCAACTTCCATTATCCATTCTGTGGTATTTTGGGATTTGTTGCCTCTTGTATTTTTCTCATCCAAAGACATGATACAACTCTTATGTATTATATTTCCATAGCAACAGTGACCAAGAGTGTTGGGCCCATGGTTACACTAATTAGCATAATAATAGTAGATATGACACTGGACATGAATTATGAATGCGGACATTGCTCAGATGAAAAAGAAAGGCTGCATTAGGGCAGTGAAACAAAACAGTTACAAAAACACTGATTTAAGTGTATAGGAAGGTTTATGTACAAAGATATGTAAATCCCATCACCTGTACAATATCATCTAGCTATTCCAGTCAGGGCAAAGACCTTTTGTCAATGCTTACAGTTTTTTTTCATCTTATTTATTTTAAATATTTACGTTTCTTAATATTATATTGTAGATGTTCTACTTGCCATTTGTTCCATCGGTGTTGTAATTTGGTATGTTTTTTTATGGAGTGCCCCAATGTTATGTCTCATGAAGATTAAAAAAAACAAACAATTGAAAGTTGTAATGTTTCTGTAGAAAGTGCATCATGTATGTTCTTCCAGTTTCTGTTCAGTTGAGTAATAATGAAACATCAAGTTTGACGGAGCAAACAAAGATTGTGCATAATTGTGTTGAAACTAAATAAAGCAAGTTCTAAGTGACTCATTTGTTTGTGTATAATATTGTGAATGCCAAATGTATAAATGAATATGGTAAAATACTGCATACGTACAGTACATTTAACATGTGCAATGTATTAACAATATTGTTATTACATTAATTAAATCCTAGGGTCTTATTTGAATTCCTATTTAACCTTTTTTTTGCTTTAAATCCCGAGGGCAGTTTAACACTTGATTTCTCCCAGATCTTCTCTGAGCTTCTTAGTCTGACCACCAAGTGGCGCCATACTCAAACACATAACTAGAGATGCTCTCGGGACAGAAATATGACAGTTCATTAGAAAGCTTAAAGGGTTATGCATGTCAAGTGTTAAAATGTGTTAAACCTTTGTTAAATGGATGTGTTTCCTTTCCGGTACTTTCTCTTTCTCTTAAAGTCCAGAATACACTACAGCGTTTACATTCTGGGACATTCTGTATATTGGCCCGATGAAGGGCAGTGTGGTTGTCAGATAAGAAAAAATAACAAACACATTCCAGTTTTGTTCTGAGTTTAATCACTGAAACGGCTAATGAAGCTCTCCTCTTCCTCCACGTTTCAGCTGTGTCCCTGAATGTCCTTGGGTGGTCCTAACTGCTCCATGATACACCAATAACCAAAGTCTTTGATATTACTGTTCAGAAACCCGCCGTTGCCCTCTAGCTGAAGTTCTGCAGCAGACCAAAGGATATGCATGTTTGTTTTTGACTTAAAGAGCAGCTAAACAACCAGGGGTTGTGGTTTTTAGGTGGCATTACTGTGATAGGTTAGGGACCTCATATTATACATGAGTGAATATTTGTTTATTTCTGTATTTTATTATACATACACAATCTGTGATATTCAAACAAAACAGACCACAACACCCTGATGTGTATGTGCATTATCTAAAGTCTTGACAGCATACTGATTGAATGGAGCACTGGGTTTACTGCACTGCAGAGGCAAGACACCACGGACCACACCGGTCTACACCAGCCACACAGTTGCCATGGAGAAGATTAACACTGATGGATTCAGAGCGAGGCTGTGGTCGCACAGTGCGCGTATACGTGCAATGTGTTTTATCCTCTATACATCTCACATGATCGTCTCCCCATCCCCAAACTACAGAACAAAAATGATGATGGGCAGCAGGCCTTGAGGCATTACTGAGGGTCATTTATCACATATTATAAGATCATGAGAGCCCAGTCGCATGCAGTGTTTTTTTTGTTTTTTTTTGCAGAGTATCCAAGGTGTTCAATGAGAAGAGACCACAGCATTCTCACATATTATAAGACCTCATGTATGGAGTCTTCTCTTCATAATGCCACATGAAACCCAAAGCTCACATTCAACATACAATTCATAAACAGCAAAAAGGTGAGCCAATTTAACCATCACCATCATTATACCAACAATTCCACAAGAATGAAAGTATAATACGTCAAATAACATTTCCAGTACCAGGACAGCGAGGGACACGTGACTGTACTGAAATTTAAAAAAATAAAAGACACAAATGAACAGTAAACAAAAATGTGATGAGTTGCTATAAAAAAAAATAGATATTCCCCGCCCTCAACCAGACTTAAAAATAAAACAATCAACACAGTAAATAATGGAACATGAGCACACTCAGGTCCAAATCTGCTTAGTTTCCATGGCAGCACTTCCCCAGCAACTGGCAAAGGCAGCGTCTCTAAGCTCTCCCATGTTTTGTTTTTTTGCTCTTAAAAAATAAATGTATACTAGATTCATACAGTATTTCATAACAAAATTCACAAATGATAAGAATCATAACCATACCTTTAGAAATGTTCTTGCAAAGTTCATAATACGTTGATTTTATTATTCTTACTTTTTTTTTTTTTTGCGTTCAGTCCTGTATGCATATGACAACAAACTGTCTATCGAGTTAAACTCTTGGTCAGTTGAAAACGAGAGCACCATGGGAGAGAAATGGAGGGCGTGAGTG